CAGAACTTCACAATTACCTTCACAATGGTTGGAGCCTTTAAGGAACGCAGTGGGATGGCTTCAGGAAACCTAGTAGCAGAACACATCAAAGTTAACAAGTAGGAGTGACCAGATTTAGTCCTTGGTAAAGGTCCAACACAATCAACTACAAGTTTCTCAAATGGCTCAGTCATTACTGAAATTGGCTTTAAGGGAGCTGGGGAAATAACCTGATTTGGTTTGCCAGCAACCTGACAAGCGTGACAAGATCGACAATAGTGAGACACCGTAGACTTCATTCCAGGCCAAAAGAAATGTTTCAAAAGATTGTTATAGGTCTTCCTAATACCTAAATGACCAAACAATTCATGGTCATGAGCCACACTTAGCACATACTCTCTGTAATCTTTTGGAATGACTACTTGAAATACAGAGCTCCAGTCACCCTTCATGTTTTCTGGACTCCATTTACGCATAAGTACCCCGCCATCTAAAAAATAAGCAGCTGGATGTTTGGGTAAGTCAGATATCTCAATCACAGCAGCAAAACATGACTTCAACGTATCATCTGCACGTTGTGCATCTATTAAGCGCTGTTTTTCAAAAGGAAAGTCAAATTTAGATTCTAGACTCAGATTCTGTAAACAAGCATCTACAGTATTGTTCCCAACATCTGGTAAATCTGAATTCATGAAGGAATTAGAAAGATCAATATCATTATCAAGTTTACGAGCTTGTGCACGAGTCACAACACAAGAACGAAATACACTGGGAAACTCTCCAGTCAACACATCCTCTTCTGGCACACAAGGTACCTCAGTAACCTCAAGAAGACAAGAAACTTTGTTCCCTGCTTAATCATTCCCAAGGATAAGGGAAATTCCCTTCAGTGGTAACGGAGTACGTTCAGCCACTTTAACTAAGCCAGTCACAATGTCAGAGTGTAAATAAACAGTGTGCAAAGGAACCCTAACCACACCAAGTTCAATTCCCTGAACTAAAACATCTGAATTACAGCTGGACTGTGAAGAGAATGGAAGCACATCTGCCAGAATAAAAGACTGAGCAGCACCTGTATCCCGAAGGATGTGAACTAGTTTTTGCTCCTGATCTAATTCAGAAAATGACACTACACCTTCAAACACAAATGGATAAAAAGAGGGATCAATAGAGTGTACTAATTTAGAAGTGTGAGTACTCGCAAAGGCCACAGTTTTAGATGCATCCTGAGCTTTTCTCTGATTTTTGCGCAGTAACACAGGACAACCAGCAATTAAATGCCCCTTTTCATGGCAGTAATAACACTCTCGGGACCCTGTTGAAGATTCAGCAATGTGATCATCTTTTGGCACAGCTACTGCTGTTCTAGAGCTACCCCTGCGATCTATAACAGCACGAGATGAACGTGGGGACGTGAATGCAACCTTGTGTGTGAGCACAAACTCATCAGCAAAAATCGCAGCCTCAGATAGTGATGAAACTTTTTGTCCTTTCAAATAAACTACAATCTTTTCTAAAATGCAATTCTTAAACTCTTCCCCTAAAATGAGTTCTTTCAGCTGCTCAAATGTGGTAATTTTGCTAGCAGCACACCACTTTTCAAACAGTGTGGTTTTTTCATGTGCAAACTCAACAAATGTTTGACTGGGGTTTTTGACATGCTTCCTAAACTTTTGTCGATAGGCTTCTGGAACGAGTTCGTAAGCTCTTAAAACGGCAGCCTTAACCGAATCATACTCCAAACTTTGCTCAAGTGTCAGTGCAGAACATACTTCTTGTGCTTTGCCTACCAGTTTGCACTGTAACAATAAAGGCCAAATATTTCTTGGCCACTTTAACGTGGCTGCAATACGCTCAAAAACAGTGAAATATTTTTCAACTTCACTCTCTCTAAATATAGGAACCAATGAAATTTGTCTGCTAATATCAAAATCAGTGTTAGGACTTACCGGTGTCACAGATGGCACTGCAGGAAGAGGAGAGGAGGCATTTACTGCACAGGAGTGCTTCCCTTTGTCAGGGAAGAAGGTGGACATGGATTTTGTCCAGTCTTTAATTCAAGTTCCAGCTCTTTCAGCCGGATGTCTCGTTTTGTCTCAAGCTCAACTGCTCGAACATGTAAAAGCTGGCTCTGATACTGCTGTCGGCTTAACTCCACCTCCAGTTCTTTCAACCATATTGCCAGCTGTGGATCTGTTAACGAAGGCGGATTAATGGGATCCATGCTCGCAACATCCGTAGGTTTGAACTCTGCCTCAGCAGCTTCCAACTCTTCAGATAATGCTGTATTTGCAACACCCAAACCCTGCACATTCGCATCAGGTAAGATCTTTTGTTTAACAAGCTCCATGTACAATGCCTCTCTGATCTCCTTTTTCAGTGCATTTCGAGGTACGACTATATCAAAAAAATCTGCAATGAAAAACAAATCGTCTTTGCGACACTTATCTAATTGCTCCTCTGTTGGTGCAATTGTAAATTTATCAAGTTCAAATTTTGATGCCATGCCAATCAAAGTAGTTGTGCCAATCACTATATTTCCTCCCTTATCAAAAGAAAAACCCCAGGCAAACAAATGCAAAAAACAAATGAGCCAAGTAAATTCAGCTAATAGAGCATATAATCAATAGACGAGCCCCCAATTTCATGTTACGCACCGTCTAGGGATGGTGCACAACATGAAAGACAAGACAACAAAAATGAATTCAAAGATTTATTGGGGTCTGATTTCGGGAGCTGACAAGGCCAAAATAACAAACAAAAATTCCTTTATATTAAATCTCTAACTTACCTGATCACAAATAAAAGAAAAGAAAGTACAATTCACTTCCCTAACTACCTAACACAAAAACAGAGGCAAAAAGGTTTTACAAAGAAAATGGCGTCAAACTCCTTACTATCCCAATATATACACTATTTACAATCTATTTACAAAAACAGGCAACCATATTTGAAGGACAATCCAAAATCAATGTCAGCAGGCAACAAAGGTCAAACAAGCCGGTGGAACAAAGTATCATAAACAAAGCAAACACTAAAACAAACAGTACTCACAATTCTCAATATAATCTCAGAAGTTAAACAAAACAAACAGTACTCAAAAATCTCAATATTCTCTCAGAAGTCAAACAAAGCAAACAGTACTCACAAATCTCAATATTTTCAGTCCTAACACATCCAAAAACTCTGCACTATACCACAATCAAACATTTCAACAAACACAAGTAAGTGACCAAAAACAAGATGGCTGCCAAGGAAGTGGTGTCATGGCTTTTTAAAACACTGTAGGCCAATCAGGATCAAGCAAGCTGGAAGTGGCCAATTGGATGTGTTCTAAGCAAAACAGGAACAAGAAAAAAAAAACAGATGAGACAAGACAAACATAGGATTGTAACACAAGGAGGACGCAGCAAAGAATGTCACTTAAAAATTAAAACTTTATTATTTTATGCAACAGCCTAATTATAGGAGAAACATAAGGGCGATCATAAGCAAAAGATCCCAGCCTATAAGGCTAGATGTTTTCTTTCCCTTATTTGGGGTCTTATTTGTTTGGCCGGCGCGTGTACGTGTGCGATCAGAAAACTGTGCCCGCCTCTCCTTTCACTCTGCCCCGAAGCCTCAGTTGGTCCTCTTTGGCCCAAGGTATTCGGCAGGCTAAAAATGGCCGGCCACTGGCCCAGAGAAAGCCCCGCTTTGGCCCAATTAGCCCCCAGAAGTGACAGTGGAAATGCGATTGGCCTTAGCTCGCCCTGGCTTGCTCACTTTAGGCACGATAGTGGAAACGCGGCTATTGTATTTAACTTTTATTTTAAGACTTACAGTATATAGAAATATCCTAAAGGCTATTAACATTATCCTGCAATGTTTGTTTCTTTGAATGAGGCCATAAGTTTCAACGGTCCAATAATTCTGCTCAGTCACTCTTGAGGAAAATGTATGTGAAACATCGAGCATGCTACTGATGATAAGAAAGCTATGTTTGACAATTGTGAAAGAGATCATATTGTTACATTAACAGTTGATGAACCCAGAGCATCACAAAGTATTGAAAAGTCCTGACTGAGCATCAATATGTGACGAGTCAGCAGATGTGTAGTGTAAACATATAGCCAGCTATAAGATATTAATTTTTCTTTAATTTAAAAATGTTATATATGCTATGTTTATCGTCCACTGATGTAAATAAAACGAAAATAACAAATACTAATGCTTTTACTTTAAACAAAGTAATTAAATGTTTTTCTCCAACTTGATGCTCTCTCAACAATTCTCTCATTGTATTCATCAATTGTATAGCCATTGCTATTTAAATCTTTTTTTATCATGCTTTAAATACTGGTAAAAAGTTTTTTTTTAAAAATGCTGTCAGATTAAGCATAAGTTGTTTTCTCACAGCAAAATTAAAATTAAAGAATGATCTGCAGCATATATACTAAAAAATAAATATGTAAGAAGTATTGCAAGAAGTCATCCACATCTACAGACAGATTTGATTTGCTTACTTAACATTTTGTAATAATTTTAAGCTATTTAATTTATAATTATTATTTTCATTTAATTACGGCCAACATAAAGCACATTTACCTTTACACTTTTTATTTGTTAATGACTGTAGTTGTGCATAAGCGTAATACTATAGGCTATCAAATATTTGTGTAGAATATTATGAAATAAAACAGGTATAAAACAGTATATATTTTTAAATGTAATGTAATACATTGAAATGTTTAGGAGCAATTTGGTCTGGCCTCTTGATACAGTATGTTGTCCCATGCACCACTGGGTGGATATTATGGGAGGCACAACAGATGCATTTAAAATTCAGGATTAAAAAACAATGGGTATCAACAGGATCCCACGGGAAGATTTGCAGGATTGTGCAGGAAAAAAGACATATGTTAACATGTATGTATTGTAAATATATATTGTATATTAATACGTAGTGCAGAGTTTGTGACTTGATGAGAAACTTGATGAAAAGACCAAAGTCATTATGCTTCACATTCTCTTTTCTTTAGCCCTTGAATCAACGATGAATTGGGCATCCTTTTATGCTGTGATCAGTGGTGTGAACAGGCATTCAACAGGCATTGGACGCATCTGGCTGTCAGTCATCTTCATCTTCCGTATCTTGGTGCTAGTAGTGGCAGCCGAGAGCGTGTGGGGAGATGAAAAGTCAGGCTTTACCTGCAATACTCAGCAACCCGGCTGCAACAGCGTGTGTTATGACCAGTTCTTTCCAATCTCACACATCCGCCTTTGGATTTTGCAGCTCATTCTGGTGTCCACACCAGCCCTACTGGTCACTATGCATGTTGCACATCGGCGACACGTTGAGAAAAAGATCCTCAAGATATCTGGTCAGGGAACTGAAAAGGACTTCGAGAGCATTAAAACCCGAAAGTTCAAAATTGTTGGTGCACTATGGTGGACTTACATGATAAGTATCATATTTCGCATAATTTTTGAAGTGGTTTTCTTGTACATTTTCTACTTAATCTATCCAGATATCACTATGGTTCGTCTTGTGAAATGTGACTCATATCCATGTCCAAATACAGTAGACTGTTTTGTGTCTCGTCCTACAGAGAAGACCATTTTTACTGTCTTTATGCTGGTGGTGTCTGGACTTTGTGTCTTGCTAAATATCACAGAGGTTATGTATTTAATAACTCGGGCATGTATCAAATATTTTCAAGGAGCAGTACATCAAACTAAAGGACCTTGGCTCACTCATAAACTGGGAACCTATAAGCAGAATGAAATAAATAATTTGATATCAGAGCATTCATTTAAACCTAGATTTAATGTTGGGCGGAAACCTCCAGTGCTGAAAAATGAGCGCTGCTCAGCTTTCTAGACTGTTGTAAACCTCAGAGGTACCAAACAACTATCAATAATAAGTGTTGTGTAAGTAACTTCCAAATTGTAATACATTACACATTATTCGTAAATGTTGTTTAAAAATAATCCCTTACCTTACAATGTTACTGTCTCAGAATGCGTTGCATGATTCTGTATTACTTTTGTGCTACTTTCACCAACATAATTACACAAAACTAAAAGTAAAATCCATCTATCTATCTATCTATCTATCTATCTATCTATCTATCTATCTATCTATCTATCTATCTATCTATCTATCTATCTATCTATCTATCTATCTGTCTGTCTGTCTGTCAATAAGGATATATGGCTGTATATTGCAGCACTACAAGTATGATACTATATTTACACAATAGTTTTATGGCATTATTATGTAAATTAAAAAAGCTGAATAAACATCCGTCCACAGAATTCTGCCTGCATTTTTCTGCCACATAACTTCATTGCCAAACATTAACACCATAAATTGCAAAGCAAGGCAAATGCTAGAAAATAGTATAATAGATAATACAAGAGAGAAAGAGATTTGCTTGGTTCACCTTCTCTGTATTGGTTTTGTGTAGCATATGTTTAAAATGTCCCAAGTGGAAAGTGTTTCTTCCTTAAAGTGCATATACAAGATTAAAAAAGTTGAATAATGTATGTAAATACCACATAAAATAATTTAAAAAAATTTTTTACAAAAGTTTTAGTGTGCAAGGGTACACATTTAGGGAAAACATTTCTCTTTTGGGGGGGATGTTTTAATTCATCTACCTGGTCAGCTGTGAAAAATCCAGTTAAGACTGGCTAAAGTATACAAAACGCACTGTTAAGAATCACAGATTTTGGCAAAAATTGTCAGAACTCTTGACTTCTTGACTTCAAAAGCTCTTAGATATTGCTTGATGCTACTAAGAGGTTTGCGTAGAGGAAACCAGGAGATAAGGTGGAAGGGGGATTCTGCCAAAACTAATATAAGGCAGCAGGGTGAAATCTGTCCATTTACTGTAGGCTTGAATCAATCTGATTGGATTATTGCTGACTACAGATGAAAGACTAGCCACGATCAATCATATCATGTGCATTTCTCGAAATTAGTTTGTAAAACTTCACTTCCAAGTTTTCACTCCTAGTTATTGCTTGATGCTATTAGCAAGTTTGGCATTCTTTCCCAGAAGAGAACCCTGAGCTTGAGCTCAGGGCTCCAGCCTGGTCAATAAGCATATAAGGGGGTTCTGGGACTCCTGCTGGATTGGTAGGTGTAGGGGCCTGGGGTGTAATAATGTATGTACTATTGGGTATCACAATTTTAAGCCGCCCTCTAGAGGTGAAACACACACACACAAACATGTATGTATATAGAGAAATCATTGGGATTAACAGTTCAGTAAACAACAACAACGTTTACATGGACACCAATAATTTGATTTTAATAAAACAATACTCTGATTAAGAGTTAACCATGTAAACAGCGATTTTTTATTATTTTAATCAGATTAAGGTTATATAACTAAACTAAAGAACTAAACTAAAGAACTAAAGAGAAATCCAATTAAGACGTGTGGAGTATGCCGATTTTAGTCGCATTATTGAAGTGCAGTACAGTAATGTAAAGACCTTAATTAAACTATTACCTTCATGTGGGCCTTTTACCGCATTTTTCAACATACACACACACACACACACATGCGGCTGTTTGACACTCTTTGCACCTACCCAGTCAGTGCAGACCACAGACACCTGCATTGAGAAATGCGGAGAGGTTTTTTTCTTCCATTCAGCATGCGATACACTGCAAAAATGCTTTTCTTACTTAGATTTTTTTGTCTTGTTTCTGGTCCAAATATTTAAAAATTCTTAATTCGAGAATAATCTTCTAGACAAGCAAAACATGTTGTCTTGTTTTAAGAAATAATCTGCTAATATTAAGTGATTTTTACCCTAAAACAAGCAAAATAATCTGCCAATGGGGTAAGCAAAATAATCTTGTTTTTCCTTTTGATATAAGATTATTTTGCTTACCCCATAGGCAGATTATTTTGCTTTTTTTAAGGTAAAAATCACTTAATATTAGCATATCATTTCCTAAAACAAGACTACATGTTTTGCTTGTCTATAAAATTATTATCGAATTAAGAATTTTTAGATATTTGGACTAGAAACAAGACAAAAAATCTAAGTAAGAAAAGCATTTTTTGCAGTGTATGAACTTCCATTAAAACAACAGTTCCAGCAGTTTATTGTTGCATCCAAAATCTTGGCACGCAGGAAATGTTTGTGAATGGAAGTGAAAGTGCCAAACTGCATTTAAAGTCTACAAATTAAAAATATAACACCCGAAATTACATAAAACCTTCGGAGGAAATGCGGACAGCGCGGTGATGTGATGACTTTACTCGAATTATGTGCTATAATATGTAAAACAGGATCATTAAAGTAACACTCAATATGCAACTCATGTAAACACCTTAGTCTTATTATTGTCTTAATAAGATTAAAGCAAATAATTTGATTTCTGATGTTCATGTAAACGTAGTCAGCATGAGTTGCACAGCAGACGATTGTGACATGTCATTATTTATCTGTCAACATACGCCAAAAAATTGGCGATGAGATATAGAGCAACAATTCAACAGAAAGATCAAATTCGACATTAAAAGGGTAGAAAATACAGGGCTAAGCTGCAAAAGAGCAGAAATGTCAATGATTGGAGTGATCGGCATGTTTGATAATAATACTAAGGATTGGGGAACTTATTTAAAAAGACTGGAGTTATACTGGCCTTTACTAATTGCATAAAGATTTGGATTCCATAAGCGTAATCCAACTAAAGGAGAAAGTATCTCTCAATATATAGCAGAGCCATGCCAATTGTCAGAACATTGCCTTTTTTGAGTTGGACATATGATGATTGTATTTTGTTCAATATTTGTTTTCCATATAGAAACACAGGAAAACATTAATGTAATGTCCTAGAGAAAATATGATTTAAAAGCCAAGTATTTCATGATATTATATTTAAATTTGATTAAGATAGCATGCAAAATGAGATAACGGTAAAAAGTTTTCAGAGACTTTGTCGGTGTCCTTCTCTCTCTCACTGTCAGAGGCATTTTCTCAAAAATTATCTTCCCAAGCTAAACATTTACTGTTGCTGAATGATTTGGTCTACATTTAAAGTTTATGTATTTTTTTTAGAAAGAAAACTCTCTTGGCTTTGTTACCCATCATCTAGATTTTATAATGCTCAAAATGAAAAAAGTTATAGATGCTTAAGTAATGTAAAAAAAATTGCACCGCACTAAACATTTTATTATTTCATAAACAAATATGTCAAATTTGTTCTGGAGCAACACAGAAAAGGTAACAGGTCAATAGCCACATCTCCTGAGTATATGTCTTGAATTTGAAATCAATATTATGCAAAATTAAATTTCTGGAATTATTTTTCTGAGACAATCTCTTGTGATTTTCTCCCTCTCTTTGTTTGTGGAGAAGAAGTCTGATGACCACACATACAGAAGGTTTCACACACCACAATTTTTTTTTTATTTTAACGTAAGCAGAAACGCTCTGGTTACTAAAATAACCCTCGTTCCCCGAGGAGGGGAACGGAAATGCAATTAGTGGATTTTAATTATAATCCACGAATGGGAGATTTCGTTTCAGAAAGCCAATTGTCTGAAAGAGCATACAACGGGCCAATGAAATGCCAATGAATTGGCAGCGTAAGCTTGCGCATGTGTCTCTTATTGCCAATTATCTCCGCATTAAAGCACAGGTGGAGCAAGCACACGCTATCCTTTTAAGCTTAAGAGACTGAACTAACATCTAAGGAACAGTCTTTATGGCGATGCTAAATAGCATTTCCGTTTGGGTTACTTTAGTAACCAGAGCGTTCCCCTTCGGATGGGGAACTCTAATGCTATTAGTGGATTTTAATTATAATCCACGAATGGAAGAAAGTATAGAAAACGCCATAATGACTGCACCTTACCTACGCCTCCAATGAGAGGATAGCCAAGCAAGCGTGAGGGCTCCTGCATCAAAGAGAAGCGCGGTCCTCCAACGTGGTCCCTGGCCCTTACTTATCCCACTTAAACAGAAGTTTTACGGATTTAGATATATTTTTTGGGAAGTCGCAAGTGTCTAGATAATTCTAGGGAAGTACGACAGTACGTTGGGAAAGCATGCAGTCCCGATAGGGAGGACGCTGCGGAGGCCATCTGCTACCCAATAGGGAGATAAGATGACAAAAATACATATGGACTAGCCCTGAGAAGGGGGAGTACGCATAATACAAGATGGTTAGCGGAGAGTGAAGACACGGGTCCACCCGTGAAGGGGGACTGAACCGTGGCTGAGTAAGCATATGGGATCGCCTAGTGGGGATCACGCATAGCGGGCACCTATACCCAAAATGCGGGCTGACCAGTGGGCAGACCTACAACGTAGTGGGCCAGCAAGTGACTCCTCCGCTGAGTCAGTGCTGGGGGCCTCGGAGGAATCTGCAGGGCTCACCTGACAGGGAACTTTACTGACAGATAAAAAGGCGCACGTATCTCCATGTTAGGGAGAATGGCGCATCAAGCGTGTTTCAACACCTTCACCGAGTTGTTTCCTCAATCACCAAGGGTTACCTAATACCCTTGAGGAAACCGGCTCCACTCGCAGATTATAACCTTGCAAATGTATTAGGTGTCGGCCAGCCTGCAGCTCTACAGATGTTAGAGAGGCGCCGCGTGCACGCGCCCAAGAGGATGCAAAGCTTTGTGTGGAGTGCGCATGCACTCTCGGGGGACACGGCTTGCCTTGGCTTTGATAAGCGAGAGAGATGGCATGCACTAACCAGTGGGCCAACTCTGTTTCGATTAGGCACTTCCCTGCTGCTGACCGCCATAACAGACGAAGAGCTGCTCAGATGATCTAAGCTTTGAGTGCGGTCCAGATATATACGCAAAGCACGAACTGGACAAGTAAGGCTGGGTCTTTCTTGCAGGCTCACTACCTGGTATTAAAACAGAGTGGCCGGGCGGGGTCTCAGGAACGTGAGAGTAAGCCAGCCCGAATTACAGGCACGAGTCACTGAAAATGCCTCCAGGTCCCCGACCCTCTAATCGATATCAACGCGACCAGCAGAGCTGTCTTCAGGGACAGAAATCTTAAAGATACTAGGTCAAGGATCGAAGGGATCTGACGCAGGCTCGTGAGTACGAGGACGAGGTCCTAAGAGGGCATGAG